GATATGTTGCACGACTTCTCGAACCTGATCTCGCAGCTGTTGGTTCTCCTCTCGAAGACGACGGATCTCCGATGTAGGAGACATCCCAGTACCTTCCCTTCTTTGTAACGCATGGGCGATAATACGCCGAATATTCTTCTCTTCCACAATTGGGGCATCTCTCTTCATTTGATCCTCAGGGAGCTGTACACCTTGTCGCAAGCATAAAGAAGTGACCAAGCGTGGGTGATAAAGCTTACCACGTGTCCGGTGGGCACACTCATGGATACTGGTATTGATCAATTCTCCATAATTCACATCTATGCCCTTTAGCATGGCATAAACCAGCAGTGCCCTATCCTGAGTGACATGCTCATCATGCTCCGTTGGCAGAATTCTATTTTTGACTATGTATAACCATCCTGCAGCAGCTAGGGAAACATCCTCGGGTTTTAGTCGTACCTTGCCATGAGTAGTCAAATCCCAAGTGGCAGAGGGCTTCCCAACACATTCTAGAGCCTCATCAAGTTGTGCTAGAGTCGGAGTCACTAACATCTTATTGCCCACAGCATCTCTGATATTCTCAATGTTGAAGGTGTAGTTGATCTGAGTGGCATCAAACCGTATTTCCTTCCCGCGCACTATGGCTATATGTGACTGGGGATGGACAGCAGCATAGAACTCTCTGACTAACTCCAAAGCCTCACATTGTATGGGCTGAATGAGTGGTCTCCATTCTTTGTCTCTAGCGGTCTTCCTCCAATCATCAGGCACATCTCCTAGAGTGAGATCGAATCCCAATTCTGTCATAATCTTACGGGATTTCATTAATGAAGTTCGAGTGGCTAAATTTGCCGCGTTCCATTTCGTCTCGACCTCCTCTCCCTCAGACAAGTCCAGTTCGATTGTATCAACTGGCCCATGTGCCAATACCTTTTTCTTAGCTTCAGCTGCTTTAGCTTTCGCAGCTCTCGTTTTMGTTTCATTCATGGGCACTGTCGGCTTCTTAGCCTGAACTGCACGACGTTTTGAACTCTTTTTTCTCCCGCCTCTTGTATTGGAACATTTCCCTTATCGTCTGCGTGTCCTCGGGATCTTCTTCGCTGGTGGGTTCTTGAGTACTATTCTCCCCAACCTTGGATCTACCTGTATCACACCCAAGCGGGTTAACTGTATTAGAAGGAATAGTGTGAGCATCCCTTACCCCTGGTAGAGTGGCCATCGGTGTGACATACTCATCYGTTGCCAACGGAGTAGATCCAGTTGCCCCAGTAGGCAACTCTTGGTGACTACAAAACGCTCCTTCTGTAGGTGTATCCAATGGGGAAGGTTCCTGAGTATCTATTCTCACCACTTCGTTCTCGGTATCCTCTGTTTCCGGCATATTTGAACAATGGCCTCGTGAAACCAGTAGAAAATCATCATTACCATCTTCCGGTGTAATAATCAATGGAGATGAATAAAACTGCTCCTCGTCCCTGTTCTCCATAGACGAATCCTTAGGCGTCAGACGCCTACTACTCCCATCTTCCTCAATTTCTGGGTCTATCATCACCTCCTTGCCCTTCCTCTTTTGCCCTATCGAAACCCCGAGCTCTAGCCTATGGCTATGGCTCTTCTCTTGCACTCCTCCATGCTCATCTCCTGCATCCATTGGCATATTGGTTGGGGTTGGCATCCTAGGAGGCTCTAAGGGTTTTAGTTGTCCCATGTTGAAGGTACTGAATATGTTAGGGTTCAATTAGGGTGCTTGAGGTCCTCTTTCTAGGAATTGAAGTTGAGGTGGTGGGGGAACTCTAGGTGAAATCATCCCATAATTGGTTGGAAGTACCCAATGACCCATTCCATAATAAGGTGGAAGGCTAGGAAATAGAGTAGATGGGTTTGGCATTCCATAAGGATGAACACTAGCTGGAATTTGCATTTGRGACAAGGGAAAATGATAGGAAGGAACCGGGTTAAACATAAACGGTTGGTACATACCCGGATTGATCATTGGAAGAAGTTGTTGAGGATTTTCAGCCCTAAACTCACTGTTTTGAGGTATATTAAGGGTGGGTAGTTGCTGAAAATTAACATAACCATGTGGGCTCATTATAGGATGTTGTGTAGAAGCTTGGCATGGAGGACATTCAAATGTTTGAAGCGGGTTTCCTCCCCTAACAGCAGCTAGCCTAGAATCTGAAACCATGTGGTGTTGGAAGTTCTCCAATGGTGGAAAGGGAATGCTTGTGGCATTTGGAGCTTGAGTAGAAGAGGTAGGAAGTGAAGTATGTTGAGAAGAAGAAGCCATAGATGTAAGCAAATGCTGGAAATTTCTTCTTCTTTTTGGTGGTGGCTGAAAATCGAAAACAAGGGTGATGAAGGGAGTGGGTTTTGCCGAAAAAAAACAAAGGGAAGAAGAGAGTTGTGTGGGTTTTGGTGGAATTGTAAAGCTTAGGCAATTGGTCTATTTAAAGCATTCCCCAAACTAAATCCTAAATGGAAAGGGATTGAGATTTAAGTTCAACTAGGTTTCCTAAACCTAAAAGGAAAAAATAAGATTGAATTCTAAATAGGATTAGGGAAACAAGAATTGAAGTATTTTTTAGTTTAAGGAGAGATTTGAAACTTAAATCACAAAGGATTAATGTTTGACCTGAAATAAAACCCATAAAAGTCGAAAAAATGAAACCCAAATCACGAAGGAAAACGAAATTCGAACTGCTGGAAAAACAGGCCAGGCGCCTGCGTGATTTATTTTCGCAAAGGGCAGGCGCCAGGCGCCTGCGTAAAAAAAAAGTTTTTTCAACGTTTTTTTTTTCTYTCTTTCTTTCTTTTTGTTTTTCAACGTTTTCAAAAACATTCTCTTAATAAGAAAAACTTTTTATAATTAAACAAAAAGAATGTAAGATACAAAAATTTTCTTCCTTTACTTTTGTTCTTTCAAAACGGATAAGAAGGAAAAACATTTTTCGCAAACATTTATTGACCTCAAAGTTGAATAGAGGTTTTTCCTCTGTCCACTAGTTCTCCAAAATATGGCTTAAGTCTCTGCCCATTTACTTTAAAAACACTTCCCTTAGAGTCAACTAGATCCACTGCCCCATATGGGTAGACTTTAAAAATTTTAAAGGGACCAGACCATCTAGACTTAAGTTTCCCAAGAAAAAGTTTCAACCTAGAATTGAATAACAGAACCAGATCACCTTCTTGAAGATTGTTCGGCCGAAGACGCCTATCATGCCACTGTTTAGTTTTTTCCTTAAACAACTTAGCATTCTCATAAGAAAAGTGCCTGTGTTCTTCTAATTCCAACAATTGTAACTTCCTCGCTTCACCTGCAGCCGACAAATCAAAATTGAATTTCTTAGTAGCCCAAAATGCTTTATATTCTAGCTCAAGAGGCAAATGACATGTTTGTCCAAAAACTAGCCTCTAGGGGGACATGCCGAGGGGAGTCTTAAATGCTGTCCTATATGCCCAAAGTGAATCATCAAGCTTAAAAGACCAATACCTACGGTTAAGATTTACAGTTTTTTCTAAAATGTTTTTTATCTCCCTATTAGATATTTCGGCTAACCCATTCGACTGAGGATGATATGTTGTTGCAACCCTATGACGCACATTGTATTTAGCCAGCAACTTTTGCATAGGGTATTCACAAAATGAGCCCCCCCATCGCTTATCAGACAACGCGGGATTCCATAACGCGTAAAAATGTGCTTTTGCAGAAAACGAATGACAACTTTAGAATCATTGGTAGCAGTTGCAATGGCTTCTATCCATTTCGAAACATAATCTACTGCTAACAATATATAAAGCTTACCATTAGAAGATGGAAATGGACCCATAAAATCTATACCCCACACATCAAATATTTCAATCTCCAGGATCGGAGTTTGAGGCRTTTCGTGGCGTTTAGATATATTACCTGTCCGTTGGCATTTATCACAAACCTGGGCAAACTTATGTGCATCTTTGAACAGAGTGGGCCAAAAGAACCCACTTTGCAAAACTTTGGCTGCGATTTTGTGTCGTGCAAAATGTCCTCCATATGGAGACATATGACAARCGTCTAATATCGCCTCGTGCTCTTCTTCTGCGACACACCTGCGTAAGATATTGTCAGGTCCTAGCTTATATAAAAAAGGCTCATCCCAACAATAAAATCGAACTTCATTTAGAAATTTCTTTACCTGTTGCTTGTTGAACTCATAAGGAACTATTCGACTTACCAAATAATTTGCTATATCGGCATACCACGGAACTGAATCAACTCGCAAGAGTTGCTCGTCAATAAACTGTTCACGTATAACAGTTCCATCATCACAGAGCGGGGATTCCAATCTAGACAGGTGATCAGCAACTTGGTTTTCAGTACCCTTYCTGTCCCTAACTTCAATATCAAACTCTTGAAGTAACAAAATCCACCGTATCAAACGTGGTTTAGCATCTTTTTTAGCAAATAAATATTTTAAAGCAGAATGGTCAGTAAAAACAATGACTTTTGTGCCTATTAAGTAAGACCTAAACTTATTAAAGGCAAACACAACTGCTAACAGTTCCTTTTCAGTAGTAGTGTAATTGAGTTGTGCACCGGTCAGAGTCTTACTAGCATAATACACAGGATGCAAGATCTTGTTTTTACGTTGTCCTAACATAGCTCCTATTGCATAATCACTGGCATCACAMATGAGCTCAAAAGGTAAATCCCAATTAGGTTCGATAATTATAGGGGCTGAACTTAGAGCAACTTTCAACATTTCAAATGATTTTAAACAGTCATCATMAAAAACAAATGGTCTATCATGTTCTAACAATTGACACAAGGGTTTAGAAATTTTAGCAAAGTCTTTTATAAAGCGGCGGTAAAATCCCCCATGCCCTAAAAAACTTCTAATCCCTTTAACATTTGTAGGAGGAGGTAGCTTTGAAATGATGTCTATCTTAGCGTGGTCTACCTCTATTCCTTGCTTGGAAATTTTGTGACCCAAAACAATACCTTCTTGTACCATGAAATGACACTTCTCCCAATTTAGGACTAGGTTTGTTTGTTCACATCTCTCCAATACTYTCTCCAAATTAACTAAACATGCGTCAAAAGAATTTCCAAAAACAGAAAAGTCATCCATAAAAACTTCTAGAATATTTTCTACCATAACAGAGAAGATGGCCATCATACACCTCTGAAAAGTCGCGGGTGCATTGCATAGTCCAAAGGGCATTCGCCTGAAAGCGAACGTACCATACGGACACGTAAATGTTGTCTTCACCTGATCTTCTGGAGCAATAGTAATTTGATTATAACCCGAATATCCATCTAAAAAACAATAGAAATCCTTACCTGCCAGACGGTCGAGCATCTGGTCAATAAACGGKAGAGGAAAATGGTCTTTCTTYGTTACCTTGTTGAGTTTGCGATAGTCAATGCAAACTCTCCAMCCRCTCACAGTTCGGGTYGAGATGAGCTCATTCTYCTCGTTGGCCRCCACRGTTATACCCCMTTTCTTTGGTACACACTGTACTGGGCTTACCCARCTGCTGTCGGATATTGGGTATATAACACCGGCRTCAAGCCATTTRAGAATTTCTTTCCTTACAACCTCTTTCATCTTCGGGTTCAACCGCCTTTGACTCTCAATAGAGTTCTTAGCATCTTCTTCCAATAGAATTTTGTGCATGCAAAAGGYCGRGCTTATCCCTCGGATATCTGCTATCGTCCATCCAATGGCCTTTTTGTGCTTCTCCAAAATCTGCAATAAAGAATATTCATTAGTAGGTGATAAATTGGAAGCTATAATAACTGGTAAAGTGTYGTTATCCCCTAGRTACGCATATTTCAAATGCGACGGCAATGGCTTCTGCTCCAAAGTGGGTGGTTCCACTATGGACGGAAGTAACGACTTGCATTCTTCTTTTCGTATTTTTTCAACAGGATTGGTCACATCTTCCGGTCCTTCTGCTATCTTATCAAGCTCTTCTTCAATCTCTGTAACTAAAAAGTCATAAAACTCATCAAACATAACAGGATTCAAGCTATTTATAGCAGAGCATTCTTCAAAGTCTCCTGGTAATTTCATGGCGTCTAGAACGTTAAATTTAACTTCTTCATTATTTACCCTCATTGTAATTTCTCCCTTCCTCACATTAAAAACTGTATCCCCAGTGGCTAGACATGGTCTTCCCAAAATAATGGGAACGTCTAAGTCCGCCTTGCAATCTAGAATGATAAAGTCCGCAGGGAAAATGAATTTGTCCACCTGGACTAAAACATCTTCTATCTTTCCCTCAGGTCTTATGATAGATCTATCTGCTAGTTGGAGGATAATCGTAGTAGGTCTAGCTTCTCCTATGCCTAAAGATTTGAAAACTGATCATGGCATAAGATTAATGCTAGCGCCTAGATCACATAATGCCCTACCTAAGTTTTTTCCTCCTATGGAACATGGAATGGTAAAACTGCCAGGATCGTTACACTTCATGGGTAGCGGGCTGCCTACAGCTTGACTACTACATTTTGTCATGGCTACCAGTTCATGCTCTCCTATCTTTTTCTTCCTAGAAACTATATCTTTCAAAAACTTAGCATAATTTGGCATCTGTTCTAGAGCATCTACTAATGGTATATTTATATGCAATTGTTTTAAAATATCTAAAAATCTTCTAAACTGGGAATCATTATTTTTCTTAACTAATCTTTGTGGAAACGGGGGAGTAGGGGTAAAAGAAGGTTGTACCTGTGGAGGAACACTCGGGGTGTCCTCATTACCTTTTCTAATATTTTCTTTTTCTAGTGTTGTTGGATTCTCTGGTATCTTTACAGTTGGTTCAGTGGACRGAATCTGWACATCTGTTGTTGGCATTGTTGGTYCATYATATGYCAGTCCACTCCTAAGGGTGACAGCTTTGCAMTGTTCTTTCCCTTCTCRTTTTGGTAATTCAGTATGGCCTGRAAAAGAACCTTGTGGTCTATTCTTCAATWCATTGGCGAGCTRTCCCAATTGGGTCTCGAAATTCCTCATTGATGCCGCTTGGGATTGTATCACTGCGTCGGTTCGGGCCATGTACTCCTTCATCRTATTCTCAAGATTTGAGTTGTTATTTTGAACTGGTGGAGTCTGTRTTCTCTGATTGTACTRCTGTTGMGGTGGCGGSATGTATTGYTGTGTAKGTGGAACATAGGRCTGCTTGTTCTGCTGGCTCTGCCCTTGATTAAAACCGCTCGAACCTCCTTGACCTCCCCATGAGAAATTAGGGTGGTGCCTCCAACCTGGGTTGTAGGTGTTCGAATATGGGTTAAAGTTCCTATTGTTCCCATKTCCTACATAAAAAACGGAAGCAGGGTTATGTGGACAATTATCATAAATATKGTTTTCACTGCAAAATGAACAAATGAGATCGTTGACTTGGCAAACAGGGGCAGGAGTGCAATAATCCGACTGCACAGGTTGTATCGGCGTGGCTAATGGATTTTTTTATTYCCAATGCCATCTCTTTCAGCCTCTGGTTCATTGTAACCATCTCTTTTTGCATCGAGGTCGCAATATCCAGAGCCAAAACTCCAGCTGGATCTTGCTTCTTTGGTGCTGCCCTAGATCTTTGCGAACACCATAGTTCGTTGTGTGAAGCTAAGTCATTTAGGA